TCCACTCTCACAGGGGCTCACAAACTCTCCTGCCCCCACTGCACCTGTAAAGGACGGAGACGAAGTTACTAGAAGAATACAGACCACTGCCTGCGCATGACAGGATGGGTAGGCAATGTCCTAATCAGCTTTTTTGAGATACTGACCAAAGACCATTCCTATGGTCAATAACCCAGAACCCAATTTACAGTGCAGAGAAATTTTATGTATTTAAGTTTTATACAGTCACAATAATGTATTTGTTGCTTTATAAATGAAAATCAACTAGTACTGCCTTTACATAGGCAAACTAAATACTTCTGGGATCTGAAGAAAGTGGCGGTTCTAATACAAACAAAGCTTAGGTAAGCATGAAAAATACTTAGAAATCTTCAGCCCACTTTCTCTTGCTCAGTGCTCTGATCTCCCCAGGATATGATACTTTGAAACAGCCCTTAAAAACAAAAACAACAACAACAAAAAACCCATTTTTTTTTTTTAAACCAAGAAGTGTGCCCAGCGGATACTCCCACCCTATGCCTAACCATCACCAGAACGGTGCACAGAATACTTGGTAATAAAGTGTTCTTACACAGTGATGGAGCTACAGCAAAACAGCCTGCTTCAGTTGTCCTAGTTTCCAACCCCTGGGGGTGGGTAAGTGAACCAGCCAGCCCAGGACTCCCAGAACACCCATGCTACGAGTGCCCCAATTAAGTCCTCAAGAAGAAAACAAATACCTGATTTGAAGAAGCGGAATCATAGCCTCATTAGGAGGCTAAGATGACAGACAGGTCATGCCTCCCTAAAACAAAACCAGCAGGAGGAGAACAATCTGATGTAGTATGTATAAGCCTGGACTTCAAAGTCAAACTGCCTGAGTTTTAATTCTGGATTACTAAGTCACCTTGGTAATGTTAGCCAACTTTTCTGTACCTCAAATTCTTCAACTGAAAAATGAATTCTAGCATCTAAACCTCACTGGGATTATTTGAGGTAATATGAAGGACATAGCTCCATGCCTCACATACCCTGAACACAACGGAGGTGCTGGACAGATATGGAGAGGACACAATGCAAATATACAGGAAATCAAAGGAGCTCTGGTGCTAGGACAACATAACAACCGATGAACCTGCTCAGCCTGCTGGACTGAGAGAGCTCTCTGAGGGCAGACACTGAGGACTTTACCCCTCCAGAAGCCACAATGGCTGGGGCTGGATATTAGAGACTCCATAAACAATAGATTGATGAATTTCTGTTAATGTGAAGCATGAGTGACTGGAGAGGAGGTGTGTAAGGAACAGTATAAGGAGATGCAGGCTGCAATACTTGCTTTCAGAAGGAAGTCTGGGAGAGCCTGAGGGCCCTGAGCTCAAAAGAGAGGGAAGCAGGGCTTCCTGAGGTAGAAGATGGTGCCAGGTAAAAGAATCTGCTTCAAATTCACTATTGCTTTCCCTCCTAGGCCCTACACAGAACTCAATGATTGTTTCTAATCAAGGCCTAGTGTCCTATCTACCTCCACTAGACTCTGCTGGGAGATGTGTAAAAGGTGGATGCAGTAAGCGGAGTACTCCCTTGCTTGTGTAGGACCCCAACTTTGTAGCCAAGCCAGAGGGGCCACTGCCACTTATCAGGCTCCTTCTCTCCAGCAGCTGGCCCTGCATTCCACAGTGGTCTGAGGGAGGATGAGGCAAAATGGAGTACTCACCAGGTTTCACAGTGGTAGACTTCCGGCCACGCTTGGCAGGGGACCGTTCCTCTTCGGAAGTGATCAGTTTTCTTTTGCCTGAGAGGACTCCTGAGGAGGCACGAGGGCTTTCTGTAATCTTGCGGGTAGGGGTTGTGCTGCTGCTGCTGGAGGCAGTGGGGGTGGCTGGGGAGCTGATGTTGCTACGCCGTTTCCGTTTCCCTTCCACCAAATTGTCTATGAAAGGATAAGCCAAAGGTTGGTCAACTCCCATAGTCTGAGGCCCTGAACTCCAAGAAGCTGGGCAGAGTCTCATTTAGATATCACCACACCCTTTCCTCCACCTCATATGGGGACAGGAAACCTTTTTTAAAGCTGCCATATTCTGTTTCAGTCTCAGCCATGACTGAAATGTATCTGGTCCCCTGAAGAACCAGGGAGGCCAGAAGAATTGGAGGATTTACCATGTGGTCCTGGGAAGGAAACAGAGATAGGCAGTGGCTCCAGAAAACGGCAGCTCATTAGCATCTCATAAACCACACAGGAATTTTAAGATTTGGGGAAGCATGCTGACTGCTCTAGAAATCACTTCTCCCACCACAAACAGGACAGGGGCCCTGAGCCAGTTGTTCAGGAAGCAAAGCTCTTACCTAAGCTGATATCTGCTGCCTTGGTGAGGGGTGTTACTGCCTCATATGGACCAAGGCCATACTGCTCTCTCAGTCTATTTCCTTGCTCCAAAGACAGGATGACGGCCATTCGCTTGTACCACTTCCTTTGGCCTTCTTTTTCAATGCTGTAATATAGCTCTCCAGACTCCTTCCTATGCCCTTTCACCACTCCTGGGCGGGAAAAACATAAGAGCAGCCTGCTGTTGTTTTAGGTTGCTTGGCATCCACTCACAATGGGTCTGCATAACAGGCTTATGTCAGGGCATCAGGAAGTCCAACAGTGGACTGAAGTTAGTACTGAAATTCCAGCTGTCAATCCCAGACACCACCACCACTTAGGAATATACGTAGCTATGACCCTGGGATTGGGACATGGAAAGAGTCTCCACACAAGGAACCCTTTGGTTATAAAAATAAAGCCTCCTAAAAGCCAGCATTTATGAGTTATTAGTGGTCCAATTATTTCTTGAAGTGAAAGGACATGTGGTTTCTTAATAATCCCATTATAACTTACTAAACTTTTCCTTCTTGGTTTCTTTGGAGACTGAGTGATAATTCTTGAGCTAAGCTGTAGGTGAAAGATGACATGACTCTGAGAGCAAGAGAGAGCATATGTCTGTGTGGCTAAATCAAGATAAAGATACAGAGCAAAGAAAGGAAAAATACATAAATTCTGCCCCTCCTGCCTAATCTTTCCTATTATTTACTTTCTTGCCCTTGCTCTGCTTCAGCACCTAAAGGCCTTTAGGTTGCAAGGAACATACTGTGGAGTATAAAAGGCAACAGTGCTAGAACTCAGGAGACTTGAGCCTAGGCCTAACTCTGCTACCACCAAGCTGTGTGACCTTGGGCAAGGCCCATTTCCAAACTTGTGAAAAAGATGATACTCCTTCCCCTCTATCTGCCAATAAGTAACTTATATATCTGTGCATGCTACACACACACACACACACACACCCCACATACATAATATAAAAACAAGGCATTATCATGAACACCTCTTCATTCTTCTAAAAGAAGGATCCATTTGTTCTCTCCCATTGGCCTGTGCCTGAATGAAGCCCTGAGCATATGCCACCAAAGAAAGAAATACGAATGTGAAACCAGGTCTTGGTTCTCTATTTATGCCACAGAATCACTCCCTTTCCCCTTGCTGCTTCATCTTTTGGCTTAAATCTCTATCAGCAAACTAAGTCACAAAGACCCTTCCCAAAAGTACAATGAAGTCCAAGGCCAAGAATATACTTCACACTGCTGAAGAGCTACTAGAACTAGAAGCAGTCTAGTGATGACATTTGTAGACAGCCTCAATAAATGAGACACAGACTCCCTACCCCTTGATGCCATAATTCACTCTGGATACAGAACTGTCTCTGGGTCTTAAAAAGACCTCCAAGACAGGCTTTATACCTAGTGGATACATTTGATACAATGGATATATTTGATACAAACCATGTAAGCCATAGGTCATAAAAGACCTAAATCCATATGCTACTAACTGATGCCACCTAAAGCTAAGTAAGTGTTACCCAGGACTAGAAGGTGAAGATTAACAATGTACTTAAGGGGCAAACAATGACGACTCAGGAGTCCAAATCACAAGAACGTCTGAGGAGACTTCACCAGAGGCATTTTTGCCTATTATATCCCAATCTAGGTTCCAAAAAATCTCAGGCAGGATGTTTTTAAATGACAAACTCAACACATTTATCTCCAAATTGGCTCAAAAAAAAAAGGGGGGGGGAATATATTCAAAGAACTGGCACATGCAACAGTCATAATACAAATCTCTCATTATCATAGGAACTGGCTATTTAAAAAATTTTTAAATTTTTTTCAAACCAGACAGTAAATGGTAGCTGTACAGACATAAAAAACACAGTACCAACAAATTCTTCCTAAGCAAAAATATCAATATACCTACCACATTCACCTACTAGATTCCCAGCAAGGCAGGTACTAAGTTTAAGTCAGTGGTGAAAGAACAGATAATGGAAAGGGAAAACACTAACTTTACAGTGGAGAAACCTGGCAAACACTTTCAACAAGTGATAAAGGTTAACATGATTAGTGATGTCCTGTGGATGTCACAGGCCTCTCTCCCCCATAACATAATGAAAAGGGCGCTTTACCTCCATAGCAGTCTTTTCAAAATCTTAACTCCACTGGTTGAAACGGTGCTGGGCTGCACACCCACCAAGACAAAAGGTGAGACAGACCAGAACTGAGGGACAAATATCTGACCAGACATTCCTCAAAACTGTCAAGGCCATGAAAAACAAGAAAAGATTCAGAAATTGTCAGATCAAAGGACACATGAGGACTAATGGATTGGATCCTGGAATAGGAAAAGGATATATAAAATGTGGAAAATCCAAATAAAGCCTGGAATTCAGTTAGAAAGGAGTCAAGGCTGGTTTCTCAGTTGTGACAAATGTTTACCACGTTATCATAAGACGTTAAAAAGAGTGGAAGGTGGCTGAAGGGTAGTCGGGAACTTCCTACACTATCAAAGTATTCTGTACTTTACACAGCAGTCTGTACATTTTCTGCAAATATATTATTCCAATGTAAATTCAAGGGCGCCTAGGTGGCTTAGTCAGTTAAGCATCTGACTTTGGCTCAAGTCATGATCTCACGGTTTGGTTCATTAGTTCAAGCCCCATGTCAGGCTATGGGCTGACAGCTCAAAGCCTAGAGCCTGCTTCAATTCTGTGTCTTTCTCTCTCTGCCCCTCCCCGATTCCCACACTGTCTGTCTCTTTCTCTCAAAAATAAACATTAAAAAAAATTTTCTCAAACAGAAACAAAAACAAACAAACAAAAGTGAGTTCACTCAAAAATAAGCAACAAAGAAAACCAAAAAAAGTAGTGTGAGAGTACCCAGTGTAGTAGGAATGGAATTTCTAGCTTTGGAGACCCCCAAAGAGTAGTAGCTGGGCTGCAGAAAGCACCCTTGGTAATTATTAACTAGAGAGAGGACTGGCCCAGGCACAGAAAAACTCTTACAGACACCACTCCCTTTATTACCTGCACTGAAATACTCATCCTCCGAGAGGGCTGTCACTTCTGTATCCAGTGGGATAGGATCACATAGCAGAATGTCTTTGCCCAATACATCACACTCGTACCCATCATCAAAGAGCAATTTATACTTCCCAGCTCCGACATCACGAGTGATTTTCCCAGAGTAAAAATAGCCATTGGATGACCACTTGGCGACAACACGGAGCCCCACAAAGCTATTTCCTGGAGAGGAGGCATCTAAGCCATCAGAAGGGCCAGCAGCAGCCTGGAAAGGAATCTCTGGAGAGTCACTTCGACGCAAAGCACCGGCACCCGTATCTGCTCGCCTGGTGGAGTCCGGCACTCGGGGTACAATACGGGTGAATGATTTATCATCTGGCGACATGCTGGGTGAAATGTCCTCTATGCCCAAGGGGCCAGGAACAGCTGTTTCTCTAAAGAGAGATAAGAGATTGGAGAAGGCAGTTAAAGTAAGAAAAGGACTTAACTACTAATTTTCCCACTCCTTTGTCCATGGGTCTTCCTCAGCCCATTCCTGGAGGACCCCATCACAGGCATAAGCCTGGTCTCTCGGTGGCCTCTCTGATCCCTGCCCACTCCCCAAGTCAGCGTGGACCCCTCATGTCCCTCCTGACACCCCACATACTCTCTACTCCCCTCTCTTCTCTCTACTCCCTTTTTTTCTGAACAAGTCATAGACTAAGTGTATCTCACACTACCCGGGTACCTGGTTCCAGTGGTCCGAGAAGGCGGGCGGCCCCTTCGCCCGCGCCCACGAGGCGTGACTGGAGCCTTCCCTCCCTGTCTGATGCCAAGGCCTGCATCACCATCCTCCTCACACACTGGCGCCCCTGTCTGACTGACCCCTTTTCTAGGACTAGAGAATGAAGACAGGTTAGTCTGACAGCACCTGCTACTGGATCCTTTCTTCACAAAGTCTCCCCATGGCCTTTAAACTACATGCCAGGCCAACATGTACTAGACCTCCAACACAGCAAGAAGCTGGGCTGCACACCCACCAACAAAGTATCAGCCAGGGAGTGGGAGTGTAGGATAATGACCAAAGGACATCCTCCTCTATGGGAGTCTATTCCCTCCTGACAAAGCTTCCTACTGCTTCCCTCAAAAACAGCACACCCGTTTCTGCCCTGCCTTCTCTTCTACTACAGGCTCTAGACACCTGCAGAAGATAACAGAAAACTAGGGATGTGTCAGGTTGGGGTCACTACCCTAAACTTTTTGCACTCCCAGCAACACTACAAGCTATAGAAAATGGGGGTGGCGGCAGCATGTGCCAGCATTCCCAAAGTCCCCTCACCTATTTTTCTACATTTTCATGTAAGTCTAGCTCCCACAGTGCTCCACCCTTCCTCCCATGCAAACCCAAACAAGAGAGGAACAAAAGGGGAGGAAGAGGATTTGAATTATCCTAGTTGGAGGATGGAGAGGGATTTCCCATTACTCCCCTTTTCCTGTGATATTAAAATGTCAGCAACCCTGCCCCTGCTGTAGCTCTCTCTCTGGAGACCCTGTCTGCACCTCAGTTTTCCTGGGCCTCCTCGGGAGCTGGGCAAGGCAAAATCTGCGGGTTCTGTCCCGCTGGTTTTCCCTTTGAGTGGTCCGGCTCCTCTCCCTGAGCTGCCACTGCTGTGCATGGCTGAGAGACTCGTCCCACTTGACGTGCGGTGTAAGCTGGATGCCTTGGAGGAGAAGGAGCTGATATCCCCCAGGTCACCTGAGGAGCCCCCAGTCTGTGAAGGGGAAACTTCGGTTTCACATTCCTGACACTCTACAATTGGCTCTTCAGTCTCCTGCAAGGAAGAAATGGATACAAAAGCTAAAAGAAGCCACAATAACATCATGCTAATGTGGTGGCTGAAAAATCCTAGAGATGGCAAGAAATTTCCATTCAGAAAGGTGGGAATCAGGAGTAGACTTTCTGGAATAATGGAAATGTTCTGGATCTTATTCTGAGTAGTGGGGACACCCAATTAATTGTCAAGAGCCACTGAACTGAACATTTAAGACCTGAGCATTCTACAGGGACTATATTATATCTCAATAAAATATAAAGGTGGTATTGGATTGGAAAGAAAGAGACCTCTATTATGAGTTATCTTTTTACCGGACAAGTTCACACCCTTTGCCTACTGAGAAGATAGCAAGAATTGTAACCCAGAGGACAGAGGCAATTTTCTGTCTGGGAGCAGAGAGGTAAGGAGGAAAGAAGGTTAGATGAGGAGGAAAACGAATGGTTAGGGGCCCTTCTGGGTATTTGATCAGCAGTGGGTAGCATGACATGTTTTTTGAAATTAGGTTATTTTACATTCTTTTCAATAAATGATAAAGGAAATAGAAAATTATAGGCAAAAATAGGCTAAAAATAGTATTACTGTTTAGAAAAATGAAAAACAGAAAGCTAATAATCAAAACGTACAAGGTTGCAGTTATCTACAGAAAATAGGAATGTCAAATTATCTCCCATGCTTACTTTAATGGACTGGTAAGCAGTTAACTGGAGCTCAGTTTTAAACAGCCTTAGGAGGCTAATTCCCAGGCTTATGGGAAAAGGTTCTGGGGCCAATCAACGATGTCCTCTCTGGACACAGGACTGAGAAATTACAGCACAAGCGCTACATATTTGCCTTCCTGCTCTAGACTATTCATGCGTCATCATGCAAATCATCAGAGAAGATATGGAGAAGTGTAAGACTCTCCCCTCAGAGGTTACAGCCTCTCTGGGCAGACAGTATTCAACACACACACACTTAAGTAATCCTGAAGGTAATTAAATGATTATTATTTTTTAAAAATATTTGAGAAAGAGAGAGAGAGAGAGAGAGAGATGGGGCGGCGGGGAGGGGCAGAGAGAGAAGGAAGCACAGAATCTGAAGGAGGCACCAGGCTCTAGGCTGTGAGCACAGATCCTGACATGGGGCTCGAACCCACTGACCCAAGAGATTGTGACCTATGCCAATGTCAGACAGTTAACCAACTGAGCCACCCAGGTGCCCCTAAGTGATTATTTTTAAACACTCTTCTTGAAAATATCTCATCCTTTGGAATCTACAAAGTGACTTTTACTTTCATTCCACCTCTATGGCTACTTCAATATGTGCTTACTTTCAGGTTTCTCTTTCTTCATCTGTTCCTTTAGAAACAGTGTTGTGCAGGACTCTGTTCTTCCTTTTCTTACTCTTGCATGCTTTCCCTGGACAATCGCACCAGATTCATCCCTGCCTATCTACCAAAAGTACAAAAATGACTCAGCTCCAAACTCACAAATAACTAATGAACCCTTCCCTTTGGATATACTAAGGACACTGAAATTTAACCCATCCAAAACGCACTGTCATCCTCTCTCCATTTCCTTGCCTTCAACGAATAAATCCTGGACATGCCCAGGGCATCTCACATCCCCTATAAGCTCTCTCTAGCAGAGACTGGTTTTTCTCAACCAAACCACAATTCAAGAATTTTCAGATATGGGGCGCCTGCATGGCTCAGTTGGTTGAGCACCCAACTCTCGATTTAGGCTCAGGTCACAATCCCAGGGTTGTGGGATTGTGCCCCACTCCACACTAAATGTGGAGCCTTAAGATTCTCTCCCTCTCCCCCCTTCTACCCTTCTCTCCCACTCACAGGCTCTCTCTCTCTCACTCACAGGCTCTCTCTCTCTTTAAAACTGAATGAAATAAATTTAAAAAAACAAAAAAAAGACTTAGGAGGTAAGAAGAAACTTTGCCCCCTACTGCCATTAACAGACCATTTCTATCTCCCTACCTCTTGCTCCTACTAAACCACTATTTGCTATTTTGTTAAATTTTGCTTTCCCCTTCCAGTTATCACCAACATCCTCCAACCCACTCACTCTCATGGACGAACACCTTAACCTCTGGTTCACGGCCTCCCTTCCCTTCCACTCTCTATTTCTGTCATTATTCTCTGTGGCTTACATCCAGCAGATGACTCATCTAGCAACTCCCAAGTTCCTGATCTAATTACCACCATTAACCTCTTTCTCTACCTCAGGCACCTATCCTCAGGGTCATTACCAGAAAGTGTACCATCTCCAAAAAGTATCAGTGATAAATATGACTTTCTCACATCGGTCTCCTATCACTAACTTGCCTGCTTTAGTTAGATTCAAGTCTCACTATCTACTGAGGTCATTTGACTAAAGCAGGTGTTCTGAGTCCAGAACTGAACTCAACCCCTTCACCATATGGCAAATGTGTAGGGGCATGGCCAGCCTAAAAGGCTAGGATTCCAGGCTGTGTCTCTGTTGGAGAATAAGCCCCAGGAACAGTAGCCAGCTATACTTTATACTTGCCTTGGCAACTGTCCTGCAGTCAAGGCCACTGCTATTGTAATGACTGAGACCCAGGCTCCAAGGTGGCCTATTATGATCTTTCTAATGTATTTGCTTACTTGTTTTTCCTGTCTTACCCGCTGGACTACAGAGGCCTTGTTAAGACAGAAATTGTAACCGTCTTCTTTCTTGCGTATATCCCCCAAATCCAGCACAGTGCATGCCACAAGAGACTCTAAGTATTTACTGCACGCTCTCTCTCAAATCAGTGTCCTATTTCCATTCTCTGTCTCAGCATATGGTACCACTATCTATCTCGCTGCACAGGAAAAAGGCCAGGCACCATGTTAAATTCCTCTCTCTCCCTCAATCCCCACATTTAGGAATTCACCAGTCTATCAATTTCACCTTCTATGTATTTAAGGTGTCTCTGTCTCTCCTCTCAATCCCTGCTGCCACTGTCCTGACCTGTGCTCATTACTTCTTGTCTGAACTATGCCTCAACCCACATCAGTCCACTGTTACACCACTGCCAATCCTGACCTTTCCAACATGCCAATCTGAGCATGTCACTCTTTTCTCCAAAATTCTTTAAAGGCTCTCTGTCACACCAAAGATAAAATTCTAAATTCTTTTCTATGGTATACAAAGCCCTCATGCTTTGGGCCTTTACCAAACTCAACAGCATCCTTTCCTACTATTCCCTACCCTACTGTTTGTGTCATACTGGGCTTCTAAATATTCATTAAGCAGGACAGGCTGCCTATATATTTACATAACTTTTCATTCTGCCTATGATGTCCTTCTCCCCCACGTCTCAATGCTATCTGCTACACTTTTGAGAGCTACATCTTCTGTGAGGTCTTTTAGCCACCTTCAGGTCAGCTGGTAGGCTCAGTCTCCTCTTTCTAACACATCTTTCCACCCTCTACAACAGCAACCAACAAGTTCTGGATTTGCTGCATGTCAAGTATAAGCTCCTAGAGAACAGGGACAGTGTCTTTTTACCTTCATAATCCCAGGGCCTGCCACAGTGCGAGGAACATAGTAGAAAAAGAAGAAAAGCTGCAAGTAAATAAATGAATAAAACTTCTAAAATATAATAAACAAAGAATACAAGCTATGAGGAAAGGTAAGATCTCAGAGTCTTTTGCAGTCAAAACACTAAACTAAACGTTTCATGCCTGCGTCCTCTTTACTTTCTGTCTCTGTCTGTGCCTTTACTCACCAAGCTTTCTATATGGAATGCCTTTTCCCCTCACCTCCAAACATCTAAAGCCTTCAGGGTCCAACTCAAAAGCTTTCTGGACCTCATCCAAAAAAAAACCTATCAAAATTCCCTTCAGAGGAGTTTCTTCCACATCTGAACTACCATATGCATCTTTCTTCTTGCACACATCACTTTCACTCTTGAGAGGTAGCAAAATGTAGTGGTTAGAAATGCAGGCTCTGGATCTAGACTGCCTGGGATCAGTTCTAGTTCCTCTGTTTACAGTAGTGCCTTATAGTCAGTACTCCAAAAATGTTAGTTGCTATTATTAGTGTATTTAATTATGGTAGTATTTCCCAAAGTATGTTCCATAGGGGTATAGTAAGTACTATCTTAAAAAAAAAAATGTTCAGGGGCACCTGGGTGGCTTAGTCGGTTAAGCGTCCGACTTTCGCTTAGGTCATGATCTCGCAGTTCGTGGGTTCAAGCCCCGCATCGGGCTCTGTGCTGACTGCCAGCTCAGAGCCTGGAGCCTATTTTGGAGTCTGTATCTCCCTCTCTCTCTGACCCTCCCCTGCTCACGCTGTCTCTCTCTCTCTCTCTCCTAGAAATAAATAAAAATATTTAAAATTAAAAAAAAAAAAAAGTTCAGTTGATGGGTGTATGGGTGGCTAAGTTGGTTAAGCATCCAACTTTGGCTCAGGTCATGATCTCATGGTTTTTGAGTTCTAGCCCTGCGTCAGGCTCTGCCTGACAGACAGCTCAGAGCCTAGAGCCTGCTTCTGATTCTGTGTCTCCATCTCTCTCTGCCTCCCCAACTTGTGCTCTCTCTCGGTCTCTCAAAAATAAATAAGTGCAAAAAAATAATAATAATGATAAAAAAAATTCTGTTGTCAAGTAAGTTTGGTAACTTCCATGTTAAACAATAAAATAGACATCTTTAATAAAGGACTTCTTAGAGCCTTTAATGTAATAGGCACTGAGAGTTTCCATGGGGGAAAGGAAGTTTTTCAGCATTTGGTGTTTCTCAAACTACCAAATTACCATGGAACTTTTTTTCACTCTCAGAGTATCTAAAAGGCCTGCTGTTTCCAGAAATATAGAGAGCACCACATCAAATAATAAAGTAACATGTATAACATTTTAAACTACAACAGTTACAAAAACTGTTCATGAAATAAAATTTTTTTCTAAAACTGCTAATTTCCTAATTTTCTTAAAATAGTAGTAATATTGAAAAAAATTCCACAAACATAAAAATTGAAGATGAATTAACATCTGGAATTTTGGTGTATAATAAAGTACACAAGACAATTTCTCAAACTAAAGTCAAAAGCTTTCTGACATGAGGGCCAGAATGGCCCATTAGTGAACAACAGCAATAATGTGTTCCATTTAATAAAACTGTATCTCAGAGTTTAATTCTCTCTGAGCTCAACTTCCTGTATGGCTACCTGGCAAATTTTTTTTAAGTGCCTAAGCAGGACAGTAAGGCCTAAGGAAGGAAGGAAGCATCTGTGCCTCTTATCAGTTAATAAAATGAGTTCCCAGAAATTAACATAGGTACCAAGAATGGTGCCACACTTTTAATTCTTGAAAATCTAATTTCAGCTGGTATTGAGATCTAAACACAGCATATGATGCCATCCAATGCTATAATGAATCCTACTAAGACTTAAAGGTGCACCTCCTACCAACAAGTCTATAACCACACATGGATGGAGATCAAGAAAGGACACAATGTGACAACAAGTGAGAAAACAGTGAAAAACTATGAGAAAACATGGAGCAAAGCAAGGAGTTCTGAACCTCTTTAGAGTTTCCAAGAACTAAAAATAAGAGATAAAATGTAAAAATAAGATAAAATATAGTTACAACATGACAGAGATTTATCAATGTATTCTTTACAAAAACAGAAACCATGACGGGACTGGTTAAATAAGTGGCCAGAAGTTAATCAGTAAACTCATGGTTGGGAAAAACACAGAATTCAAGACTCTCCTCTCTTACTAGGTGTTTAAATCTTTCTTATAAAATGAAGGAAAACAAAGAAGTTAGTTGCACAAGAAAGGCAGGAAGGGGTGGAAGTGGAGAGGCAGGAAATTTTTTCTACCAAAAGAAATTTGCCACTTACACCTAAGTATGCATTACCTCAGTTACTTTTCTTTCTACTTCCGTTCCATCCACATAATACACATCTGTGATGACACGGGTGACAAGTGTGCGAACCTCACGGATTGTCCTCATGTGGCGATGCAAGACATGACCATGTGGAGGCTGAGGCATATCAAATTCTTCCTCTCCCTGTGATAGAAAATATAGAACACAAGCATGGGTCTCACTGCAAAGTGGCAGAATCAAAAATCAACTGCTTCATGATGAGCACTGTTCAGAGGTTCCATGACTTTAGTGTGATGGAATTTCCAGCTGCTTTATTTTTTTTATTCACCTATAGATAAGAACAGGGATGGACCAGCTATATAGCCTGAGGCTAGGAAGAGTTTTGATCAGTTATCACTTAAAATGACCTATTTCTGTCTGGATCAAAATTGTAACATCTAGCACTTATACCTAGGATATTTAAGTGAAACTATGACCCCCCCAAGCACATTATTTAGATTATAATCCTTCTGATTTTGAGGCTGACTTGTAAATCAGTATACAAACTTAACACTTGCAATATCTCTTTAAAAAAAGAAAGGCATTTTTTAAAACTTCATATATATAAAAACAGAGTATCTGTTAATCTCAGTGCAGTCGGTTTTTTCTGCATATACTAAATCAGAACTATAGTTTCTTTATGCCCAGAACAAGATACACAGATTTTTCAGAATATGAATCTTTAATCTCTTCCACATAATAGACTGTATGTAACTTTAGAGTCAGGCTAGTGCCGAGTAAAAGGGTTTTGTATTTACCTTTACCATAAAGGATTAATAGCTTAAATAAATAACTTGAATAAACCCTGCATTTTTGTTTATATGACAACTGCTATACACATGTTTTCTCATAACACATATACCACATTTAACAGTATCCACACCCTAACCCCACGGGTAATTCAGAGGAGAAAATACACACTTTTCTTCTCCCACCTTATTTTTCCATAGCAGACTAATTTTTTCTTTCAGCAGTGTCAAAGTATCCAAGTCTTTCAAAAGAACTATATATACCACTGCAATGATGATGATCCTGGGTTTTTACTGACCAACGTGGTAGTGGTAGTAATTTACCTAAAGATTTCAATAATTTACCTGAATAATTTCCACTCCAACTCCATCTTTGGGGTAAAATATCTACTAAAATGGATATGTAAATTAAGTGAATAAATATAAATAAATAGCATGGAAACTTACACCAATTCCTTAAAATACTTCTACATATACAACTCTGGTTAATGAATGGCCAGAGCACTGGTCTGTCACATCTCAATCATCAGGGTGCCCCTGCATCAGAACCATGACAGCCTGGACCTCCTGCCCTCACACACAGAGAGGCAGGTCCCGGATCACAGAGGTCTGAAAGGTTTCAGGAATACATAAAGCACTCCTTGTATTCAGGCTTCTCAAGAAAGCTTCCTGTATTTTTCCACTACAACAGCCAGACAAATGATCACTTCAAGAGAGACAATTAAATAAACATGACTGATAGACTAAGAAAGGAAAGAAGGGAAAGGGGGCAGATAAAAAGAAAGCTATGCTTACTCTCTCTTCAAATAGTCTTCTGAAAAGAGGTCTCTGTAAAGATAAATAACTTGAAGATCTTGTCATCATAAAAGTAAGATAACAAAATGAAAACAAAACCATACTGTCACTTCATTAAAAGCCTAGCTCCAGGCCCACAGGATGGAGAAGTGAAACTTTAAGAAATGTCAAAGGTAGGCTGCCTATGCTTTCCTCCCCACTGGCCTGAGTCCTCCTACCCAGAATGCAGAGGATACAAAAGCACTGACACCTGGAAAACCTCCATAGAGCCTTCCTCATTTTCCAACCATTCTTCAAAAGACAGCATTCCAATCTATATTTTCTATTACCGCACCCATCCCATCTCTTTTTTTTTTTTTATCATAGTAAAATACATGTAACATGAAATTTACCATTTTAACCATTTTTAAATATACAGTTTGTGACATTAAGTATATTCACACTGTTGTGCAAACATCACCATATCCACCTCCAGAACTTTTCATCTTTCCCAAGTGAAACTACCTATTCACCTAGATTTTTCTAGCACCTTTCTTAACAGGAGGATGTAGCTCTTAAAAAAGTTATTTCACTCCATATGACACAATATTAGTACGGTATCAGCAGTGGCTTTGTTGGTGGTAACAGCAATATTTAAAATAATAATAATCAGTAGGGAGTAGCAACAGCCAATATATACTGAACATTTACTATGTGCCATGTAATCCTCGTATATTCCAGATAAAATGGTCTGACTCCAAAGCCTAGGCCTAGCCGCTCTGGCTCACTGGCTCCTGCTTTCATGAAAATGAGATAGGAGCAGGGATTATTTCCCTATTTTGCAGAGGAAAAATGTAAGGAAAATATAATTTAATGGCTTCAGTAAGATTGCTATCTTTAGGATCAAGTTTAATTCTTTCTATAAAGGCAGAGAAATTATTTGTAGCAGAATGCAAACACTTTAAGAGTAAAAACAGGTGCAAAATAGGGTCTGATCTACTATAACCTCTATATTCAAAAGGCTATTCTATTTTTAATCTGTACGAACTGATAAATTCTTGGGTCTCAGAGACCGTGTTACCATAAAAGGCTAGTAACATAAACAGAATTTCTGGAGTTCCTGGAGAGGCATGGATAAACAGAACAAGACTACACAGGCCATGATTATTAAATAGAAAAGCAACATAGCATAATGAAAAGAATACCGATTCTGAAGTCAGATATGCTGAGTTCAAATTCCAGTTCTGCCACCTACTGATGGCAAAATCTTGGGCAAGTTACTTAACCTCTCTTCAGCTTGGTTTCTTTACCTGTGAAATGGGAATAATAATACCAACCTCATGGGTTGTCTTGAGCACAATGCTGATACACTGTAGGTGTTCAATAAAGAGGAACTATATTATTTTATTTTTATAAAACAAACAAGTTGGACAATTAGAACGAACGGCACATCACTAACGAAGCTTTCCTAGGCATATTCCAAGTGAAGATGATCTACCACAGCAATTGAAAAGGCATTTTGACCACTATTAGTAACTTCCAAACTTTCCCTGCTGTGGAACCCACTGCCACCTGATGAAACTGAATGAACTTCCGCTTATTTGTTAACACGTACACTTCTACCACCACTTCTTATTTGTTACTACTACCTAACTCCCCTACTCCAACTCCCAACAACCTGCTGCTCCTCCAGCCTCACTTCCACCAGCCCTGATCCTTTTCCTCCCATTATATCCCGCTGCAGCCTATCTGTGCAGTCCTCA